TTGAGGACACTTGATTTCTTCATTGTTGTATTTTGCTTTCTAGCAATTGTTTGGCATCTAATTTGTGGACCCCAGTTGTTCACCATTTTGGTAGAAAATCTACCAGAGGATCACTCAGTTGGGAATCTTCAGAGAATATTTGGTGCAGTTGGACAGTATGCTTTCTCTTTGTGATATGATCCTTTTCTTCTCTGCATTGTTGTCTGTAAAGCTCTGTTTCCTTCACAAAATGATTCCGGAGTTCTCTCCAAAATTTCAGCATAAAGAATATATGCATACACAATCCACATGCTATGGAAGAGTCCAAGAAAAGGTCACAAGACAGAGGTCTTGATCAGTAGTAAGGTAGGGATTTGGGAATAGATTATCAACTTTGTAGAAATCCATATTTGAAGGTTTTCTTTCTAGTTCACACACTCTCTCTCTGCACTCACATAGATGCAGAACTCCATATTCTAGATGCTTCAAATTTTGTTGAGGCAAAATAGGTTGCCTTGCACGTGTATGTGACTGTGTACCAGCTGTCATATCTATCTAGACAATTATAAAACTAAAACCCTGTTTACTGCCTTGATTAATTTTGTGGTTTCTCCTTCTAGTTACATGCTCTGGTGGAGTATGAGACTCTGGATGCTGCGGGTTAAGCTTCTTAAGCAAATGGTAATTTGTTGCTTTCCTCTTTTCCCCACCTCTCAATGTTTGGAAGGATAGGTATTTATTACAATGCTCACAACAGGGCACGTATGGACAGAGAAGGCAAGCTTGGAGGGGATCTGATCCTGAGAAGAATGGCAATGGCAGATCATCTGCTCATGTAAGGGATGAGGAGAAGAATGACTTAAGTGAGCATCATGATGATATGCCTGATGAGGAGGTAGGTGCTTTACATTTCCTTTTTCAGTGGTGCTAGTGCACCTAATGGGTCAAAACAATTATGGTAGGAAATACTTGTTATGTCATACATGGTCTCAAACCACCATGATGCTTGTTTCCATGAGTGTTTCATTGGTTCACCATTTCAGGATGGTGACCATATTCCCAAGGATAAAAATGGGCATCGAGGTAAAAGCCAAGGACGAGGAAGGAGACAGAAACATCGTAGTATTAATGGGCATGGTATCTAGATTATTTCCTGCGTTGTTTCTGTTTATTTATTCTCTCACCTTTCATTTTTCTGTTAAAAATTCACAACATTAGTATTTTCTTTCTCATTCCCCCCAGGCCATGAAACTACATCCTCTGTTGAAGGCATTGAACCCTCAAAACCAACTCCAGGTCCCAAAATGCCTGATGGAACTCGGGGATTTACAATGGGACGTGGCCGACTACCTGTTTCCAACCAAAGTTAGATGCTTAATGTTTGTGCATTGAATGCAATTATGTTCTATGTGCTTTTTATTCTTTTTTTTTTGGTAAAATATGTGCTTTTTATTCTACAATGTATATAGGTGGGAATTGGAACGGGCTTAAACACATGTCCTGAAGTGCCAAATTTGTTCATTAACTGGCATTAAAGTTGAAGTTATGCTGCCACATTCCTTTGAATGCCTACAGATTAAATTGTGTTGGAAATTATTACGTTCGGAATTCACATTTTCACGTGAGATTAGTGTTTATCATTTTTATCCCTTAAAATTAAAAATATATATATTATATTAAAATTATGTTGTTTTAATAAATTTATATTATTTTAATAAAATAATATAAAAAATAATCTAGGGTAATTTAATTCATATTTTAAAAATATAATATTTTAATAATTAAGGAATTTACATTTTTTGCAACCATTTTGCCAACCCAATGTGTACCTTCGTGTCTCATTCCAGTATGTTTGGCTCGAGACAAAATTTTAATTTGATTGAAGAAAAACTCTTTCACTTCACCATTCCATCAATATCCCTGGATGCAAACATTAGTTTCGCTGTCCGATAGTCACTGTTACTACAAGCTTTTGACCATCGCTAGATCCTGTTCCCTTCCACGCGCCGGAGAGCCGCGTCGTTCTAACGCAATGGCAGCATTCCGGTAATTCCGAAGTTAAAGAAGGTCGCTTCCTTGTCCCTTGCTTCCCTCTCTTCCTCTCGTTGAGGTTTAATGGCATTGGACTCTGATCTCTTCATCAGATCCTCGTTTCTCTCTTTCTTTTCCTCTCCTTTTCATTTCGCTCCCCTTTCTCCAAGTCATGCGATCTCATACCTCGCCTCTAAATCACCAGTCCTTCTCTCGTTTGGGGCTCATCCGATCCCCGAAACAGCTGAGCTTCACCGGTTTGGTTTCGCCGTCTCGGTGTCGCTCCGGTGTTTCTACTCCGTGTTATGCTCTCAAGGTATGCGAATTCCATGAAATTGTTCTTCATTTTTCTCTTTATGATGTCTGGTTTTGAGCAAGTCTAATGCGCCTGCTTTTGTAATCGGTTTTTGTTTCAATGCAGTTAAATGAATCAATTGTGCGGAAACGCGGATACTCCTTTCGGCATGCCGTTATTCAAGTTAGCGCCGCTGATGAGGTATGTTCCAGCCTTATAGGGTCTAAATTTCGTTTTCTTTTTTCTCGAGGTATGAACTTTGCAACTATCTTGATTGAAAATTTTTGAAATTGGGATGGAATTTAGGGATCATTATTTATTTAGGAAGTTTGCCTTAAAAGTAATAAAACGCATATATTTTTTATTGGAAATTGGAATAAAAAATGTATTTGATAAAGACATTATGAATGATTGACGGTCTTGTGGATCACTATGTGAATCTAGTTGTTTCTTTTTAATTTTCCTTTCTTTCTTTTTCTGGCTCTAGGATTCGTATGATATTTCTTCACTATATGAGTGGGATGATACTGGAGCTGATGGATACTTGCTTTCGTCAAGTGATGGTGAAGAAAGCGATGTGGACATTGTATTGAACCCGGTGAGTGATCTTGATCTGCCTACTGCAACAAGAGTGTCCAACGATGATGCCCTAACATTGGCTGCTCACAGGCTTGCAATGATTGGCAGGGGGCATAGAAGACATAGGCAAGTATATTGCCCTAGTAATCTAGTGAACTATGATCTTGCTTTTTCTACCGTTGAATTGGTTTTGTTGTGATTTCATTATTGAATATGCCGTTAGAATTCCCTGATATTTTTCCTCTTTTGGGTTTATTATGTTCTTCAAGTTACATGAGCAAATTCTTTTGCTTGCTTTTCCTGTAACATTGTTTTTGAGCGTACATGCCCATCTTTACTTTGACTAGCCGAATTATTTGTTTTGGCAGTAAGGCTGCTATTGCCCATGGGCATACTCTAGCCTTTCCCAATGGTTTCTTTTGCTTAAATCCTTTTTATTATGATAATGGCAGGATCTTCCTAGGGGTGTTACTCAACTTGGGGCTTGTAATCTTCTTGACGGTGCTTCTTCTGTTTGTGGATTGTTGGGGGTGGAAAATTGTCAGACTACCCTTGGAACCATTCTACTTGACTCGTCCCTTTCTCTTATCTGCATTTATAGCAACCTTTGTTGGTTATGTTTGCATTCCAATGCTCAAAAGTCTAAGGTTTCATGAGATCATCAGGAAAGAAGAGCCTGCAAGGCACTCCAGAAAGAAAAGAACCCCAACAATGGGTGGCCTGTTTTTTGTACCTGTTGGTATCTGTGTCGCAAAGGCCATTGTTGGTTTTTCTTCTGTCGAAGTTTCAGGTGCGGCAGTGGCAACACTTTCATTTGCTGCAATTGGGCTACTTGATGACATCTTAAGCCTAATTAAGCAAGATAATAGTGGCTTGTCTCCATGGCTAACACTACTTTTGGAGGTGCATTTCTATCTCTACTTTCTTTCTCTAATCTCCAATGCTTAATGTTACTTATTGTAATGCCACTGTTGGATTCCTCTGAGCAAATCTTGAATTTTTTTTTTTTTTTACCTACAGGCATTTATTGGAATCTGGTTTTCATTCTGGTTGGATGTTGCAAGTTTATCATCCCCCTATGGCATGTATATCTTCTTGTACTAATCTGACGGTAACTCACAGTTCTGTTCTTGTACCAAAATTTTATAACAAAATGACAAGTTTCCATAGAATTTCTTCTGAGAAATTGGGATTTGACTAATCTCATTAAAGATTCATTGAGGGTTTGAAGCACTCATAGTAAGAACAGAGGTACCTAAAGATAGAAACAATAAAGGAGGAATGCAATTCTCTCAACCGGTTCTCTTTTCTTCTTGTGAATTTACTTAGAGCAAATAGTGAATCTTAAGGGAACTCATCTAAGGCTGAATTAGCAGAATAGAATGTACCTAAATTGATGCAATGTGGTTTATTATACTCTGTTTTATTCTTTAACTTCTTTTCTTTATATGTTAGATTTTTCTAATTTTTCTAAGACTAAGGGCTTGAAGGAAAATTATAGTCATTGGATTTAGTCACCTGTAGTTGTTTATGTTTCTTTAAATTAATACCTTGTTACATATATTCATAATATTTCATATGCATATTGTTAATCCCCTATCAAAGCTTATGAATTTGTTATGCCTTCTACTGCATAATGTTTCCTACCTTGTGAATTTGAGTTATTAAAAATTATCAAAATAGTTGTGTTAACATGAAGACTTGGTGAATTAATTCAGGAAAATGTTGGTTCCTCTTCCTGCACCACTGGGCCTTTTATGCTTGGGAAAATGTTATCTCTGGTTGACTTCATTTTGTTTTGTTTCCATGGGCAATGGGGTTAACTTAACAGATGGTCTTGATGGACTGGCTGGTGGAACTGCTGCTTTGGCTTTTATTGGAATGTCAATTGCAGTGCTTGCCATATATCCTGGTCAGTGTAGATTTGTCGTGAACAAGCATATAATTATGGCAGGGGAGGATTGATTTCATCTTAGTGTCATTTCATGATTTGCAACATATATTTACTCTTATGTGTAGAGATTATACCTGATGAGTGATTTAAAAAGCAGTTATTTTTTGGGTCATTGGTGTAGTAATAAGAGAGAGTGGCCAAGAGTCTGCGTTTGAGTTAATATCTTTAGTAGGACTGTTCTGTTGGCAGTAAAGCAAACATTGTTATTATTTGGCTGCAGAACAAACTTGTGTTGTACTTAGTTTGGAGTCAGCATATATATATGTACATTTACCAGTCCATTTATCTTAACTAAGTTATGTGGATCAATAAGACACCTAATTGGTATTGCAGTTTTTCTGGTACTTAATAGTTCATCACCTCAAATGAGACAGCCATAACTTTTCCTGAAACTTAATATTCATCACCTCAATTGAGAAGACCACAACTTACTTTTATACTTAATGGTCTTTCTAAGTCCTATTGAGTCATTGACGTCATCTAAAGCCATATAGAAAACTAAATAACTATGAAGCCTAAAATTGCGTTTTTGTGCCAGGTTTCACGTTTGTTACTACACTCTGCTGTATTATAATGTTAAATTATTATTGATGGAAGATGATTGCTAGTTTTGTTGCACTTTAACTAAGATATGATTCCATTCTTAAATGTTTGGTTATGAAATATGACATTGCAATATGCTAGTGCAATTATTAATGATTTTCCTTTGAAGTTGTCCTTTAATTCTTCAGTACTAATAATTATATCACACTCCCAAAGCAGAACTTGCTATTTTTGGAGCAGCAATGGCAGGAGCATGTGTAGGTTTTCTTTTGCACAACCAGTACAAGGCATCTGTGTTTATGGGTAATACTGGATCATTGGCCCTCGGGGGAGCTCTGGCAGCAATGGCTGGTCTTACAGGAATGTTCTTTCCATTGTTCATTGCATCTGGTGTCTTCGTTGTGGAAGCATCATCTGTTGTTATGCAGGTAGGCTAAGTCACCAAGTCTAGGAAATTAAACTATTCATTAATCTTCTTAGTGTGAAAATTGCATTCTAGTGTGTTAATTATTTGCAATTTCCCCTTCAGTAATAATCAAAAAACATATCTTGCTATTATTGAGTCCATGCCCTTTAGCCATTGATATTTCAATACTTGTTATCAATGGTTCATGTATATATGTCTTATTTAAATGGATGGTTGATCGATATGGTGCCCAATCAACTTCTTTCAAGTTTTCTTTGACACATTTATACAGCTAAAGATATTGACCATTTTGGTTTACTGGTTAAGATTGTGTTATTTTCTCAGGTCTTATTTCCTAATGTTTATGTTTTAGGTGTTATACTTCAAGATAACCAAACACTTACTTGGAAATGGACGCCATTTGTTTAAAATGATGCCTTTTCATCGTCATTTGGAATTATCTGGGGTCAAAGAACCAGTAATTGTTGCAGGCGCATATCTTATATCTTCGGTGTTGGCCTTGTTTGCTGGGTACGTGGGTCTAATATCGGTATAACAAAACATTTGGAATAATTTTTGTTCAGGTCCAGTCATTCTTCTAGTTGGATTAACAAAAGTATAATCTTGACTTTTTGCTGAATCATTCATTTTTCCTTTTATCTATTTATGTGCAAAAAAGTATATTAGGAAATTCTTGCACCCAAGTACTGTGAGTTGATCCTATAAGTTTAAATACAGTTTGATAATAGTTGTGGTTGCATTTTCAGTTTAATCTTGTAAATATTGTTGAAAAAAATTTCTAGTGGTTGTTATTATGTTTCACATGGGAATGGAGTTTCTATCGAGCTAATGGAATGCCTCTTTTCTAGTTTGATTGACCTCGTCTAGTGAGAAATTTTTTCTTTTTTGCCATTATCAATCCCTGCTTTTATTTATTTATTTATTTATTTATTTTATTTATAGTTAGAGTGTCACTAATTTACTTTTATACATCTTGATACTAATCTTTTGATGAGCAATTTTAAGGACGCACCTCTATTTCAACCTCATATATTCAAAGAAATTAATTAATTTAGTTAGTAGTATTATGTAAACTAGTTTTCCGTCATAAGCTATTGTTTGAGATATTTATTTGTAAGAAATTCATGTTTTTTTTTTTTTTTTGATGATCTGAGATTCATGTTTTACAAACAAGACAACATATTAAAAATGCAGTTAGGGTATTGAAATTGTTAAATTATCATTAAAGAAATAACGTATGAAATAATCTCATTAAAGATATTTTAGTTAATTCAAAGGTTACATCGTTTGGCCATAGAGTTATGACCCCAACCGTGCTAAAAGCTTAATTAAAGAAAGAACAATGG